GGAAGAATAGAAGACAAAAAAGAGAGCGAGAGAGAGAGAGAGATGGAGAGAGACAGAGAGAAGTGAGTGAGAGAGAGAGAGACCATGAAAGAGGGAGCCATTATAGGATTTAAGAGAAAATTGAACCTAGAGAAATGTTCAGAGACCTACAAGACTGACTCCAACTAACAATTTGAGCAACAGTGGAAAGGCTACCATAAATGCCCTTCCCTGATAATGAGATCAACGACTAACTTATCCACCATCATGGAGCCCTCAGCTAGTACCTGTTGAAAACAGAAGCAATCACCCATAACTAAACACTGAGCCGAACTAGAATCCAGATGCAGAGAGAGAGGACAAGACCATGCTGCAGAAGCACATAGAGACAGCTGACCTGAACAAGGAGGAACTAACAGGTCCCCAGGCTGATAGCTGGGAATCCAGCATGGGACTGACTCAGACCCCCTGAAGATGGGTCTCAGCTAGAAGGCCTGAGAAGTCTAAGGGACCTCAGACAGTAGAACCAGGATGTATTCCTGGTGCACAAAGAACCTTGCGGGCACATTTTCCGTGGAAGGATACTCCCTTAACCTAGAGACAGGAGAGAAGTCCTAGTCCCTACTTCAAATGACTTGACTTATTTAGATGACCCCTCCTGGAGGGCATCACCCTACATGTGGAGTGGGGAGGAATAGGAGGAGAGGGTGGTCGGGGTGCATGTGAGGGAAGGAGAGAGGGAAGGAGGGAGGGAGAGGGAACTGAGATATGTTAAAAAAAAAAAAAAAAAAAAAAAAAAAAAAAAGAGCTGTGCTCCATCCCCATTTTAATGGTTTTGGAAAATGATCTCAGGATTATATCAGACCATAGAAATGGTCCCTTGGCAGTGATGTAATAGTGTCCTATGGTGAAAGGAAACAGTGAAATTGTAGAATTAATTACCATCATGGTGAATCAGTGTTCAGTCCAGACATTTGAAATTCTCTGTTATTTTTGTGTTCACATAAAGTGTAAGGACACTGTGCTATTGGACTACAGTAAATCAAGCACGTGACATGGGACATGCTTTGGATTTTTCCCATAATTTCTGTCTTCTACACAACCCCCCGCCTCCCTCTCTTTACGGTGACCAAATAAACATACTATTTGGTATTTATCCTGGATGCCATTCTTTTACATATTGATTTATATTTCCCCTGGATTTCATTAATATACATACATGTACTCATAAATATACATAAGTGATGGATGCTGGAAACAGGATGACAGTCTTCTCCGGAAACACACCATAGCACCATAATGCACTGCCGAGTACACAATAGCCCTGCAAAAATTATGATCTTAGAAGTGCATAGAAAAGTACCCTACTGTTGGCCTCACATTTTGTGGAAATATTTGGTCAATAAAGCACATTTGGGATTACATAAAATTTCCATCTTGGAAGTTAAACATAGTTTCTCTTTATTTCCACTTACAAAATGTATGGAAAATGACAAGGATTTGAGGGACTTGGCTTTAGAAACAAACAAAAAACAACGACAACAACAACAACAAAAAAGAATTATCAAAAGAAAAATATCCCCAGAAAACCAAAAATGCCAAACATCAGATTTTGTATGTAGCTATGCTACTCGCAATGTTTCTTTGATATTCAGACTCACAAATTTTTATATCCCATTTGAAACTGGCAAAGTTTGTGGCTTACAAATAAGTATATGAAGAACATACTACAATATTATCATTTATTGTGATCCATTTTTAGTCTCCCTTGTTTAAAACTGCTTATATACAGAATAATTTATAGGATACAGTTTTTTTTTCTACTAAAGTAATATAACAAGGTCAAATAAAAGGATCGGGTATTTCAAATAACATGACAGCATAGTTTTATATCCATTCAGTTATGATGTAAGAAACACAAAAATCTGGGAGTGGATGAAGCATGGGAAAGAAAGATTCACTGGACTCAGTATAGGGTAAAGCGTGGTTTATTCGGGGAGGATTCACTTACACATGAAACAGATGACCTCCGCAGGTTCCCACTCAGTGGATGCCCGGATCCAGGACCCCAGAACTAGCCTTCCCTGACATGTCTGCACCTGTGCTCACACGCAAATAGGCGTGGTCAGTGCAACAGGTGCAGGCGGGGTGGATATCTCGCTACAAGTGGTATATTCAGGGTGAGGGGAGGCCAGAGGAGAATACTGGAGAAGGAAAAGTGAAGGGAAAGATACCCAAAGACAGACGGCCTTTTATTTTCCCCACTTCACACACATGCACACAGAGACAGGAATGGGTCAGTGCGGCGTTTAAACCATCCTCGGTTGAGCAATACTTTTGTTTAGTTAGTGAACATTTTTAAGGCTTGACTTAAACAGAAAAGAGTTTGAAAAGTAAGGCAGGATAACTACTCAGATAGTGGGGAAACGGGAGGGCTAGAAAAGGGGGTTGACTGAAAAAGATGCCACTTTAAAAGTTACAGATGGAACTTCTACAGCTGATAAGCACCTTCAGCAAAGTGTCAGGATACAAGCTTAACTAAAAAAAAAAAATCAGCAGTCCTACTATATACAGACAATAAAGGGGATGAGAAAGGAATCAGAGAAACATCACCCTTTTCAATAGCCACATACAACCTAATAAAATATCTTGGGGTAATGCTAACCAAACAAGTGAAAGACTTATATTAGCAAGAACTTTGATTCTTTCAAAAGAGAAGATACCAGGAAATGGAAAGATCTCCCATGCTCATGAATAGGTAGGATCAACATAGTAAAAATGGAAATCTTTGCCAAAAGGAATCTGCAGATTTTATGCAATACCCATCAAAATACCAGCACAATCCCTCACAGAACTTGAAAGGACAATACTCAATTGTACAATAAAGGCACTTCCAGAGGCATCATCATTCCTGACATCAAGCTCTACTATAGAGATACAGTCCTGAAAATACCTTGGTATTGGCACAAAAATAGACAAGTAGACCAATGGAATCAAATTGAAAACCCTAATATTATCTCATACACCTATGAACACCTGATTTTTGACAAAGAAGCTAAAATACACAATGGAAAAAAGAAAATATCTTCAACAAATGGTGCTGGCACAACTGGGTGATGGTGTGTAGAAGACTGCAGATAGATCCTCATCTATTGCCATGCACAAAACTTAAGTCCAAATGAATCAAAGACCTCAACAAAAATCCAGCCACACAGAACCTCTTAGAAAAGAAAGTGGCGGGTACCCTTAAAATAATTGGTACAGTAGACCGTTTCCTGAACATGACACCAATAGCACAGACACTGAGATAGACAATAAATGGGACCTCCTGAAACTGAGAAGCTTCTGCAAGGCAAAGGACACAGTCAACAAGACAAAATGGCAGCCTACAGGATGGGAAAAGATCTTCAGCAACCCCACATCTGACAGAGGATTGATCTCCAAAATATACAAAGAACTCAAGAAACGAGTCACCAAGCACCAAATAACCCTATTAAAAAGAGTACAGAACAAAATAGACAATTCTCAATAGAGGAATCTAAAATGGGTGAAAGACACTTAAGAAAGTGCTCAACATCCTTAGCCATCAGAAAAAAGAAAATCACAACAACTCTGAGATAGCATCTTACTCTTGTCAGAATGGCTAAAATCAAAAACACCAACGCCAGTGTTATACTGGAGAGGATGTGGAGAAAGGGGAACACTCCTCCACTGCTGGTGGGAGTGCAAACATACAGCCATTTTGGAGATCAGTATGGTGATTTCTCAGAAAAATGGAAATCAGTCTACCACAGGACCCGGCAGTTCCACTCTTAGGCATATACCCAAATGATCCACATTCATGCAACTAAGACAGATGTTCAAGTATGTTCATAGCAGCATTATTTGTAATAGCCAGACCCACCTAGGTGCCCCTCAACTGAAGAATGGATAAAGAAAATAAGGTACATTTACACAATGGAGTTCTACTTAGAGGGGGAAAACTGGAATTTTGACATTCGCAGACAAAGGGATGGAACCTGAAGAAACTATCTTGAGTGACATAACCCAGTCACAAAAAAAGTGAACATGGTATGTACTCATTCACATATAGATTTTAGACATAGAACAAAGGATCACCAGCCTATAACCCATACCACCAGAGAAGCTAGGAAACAAGGAGGACTCTAAGAGAGACATACATGGTCCCTCACAGAAAGGGAAGGGAACAAAATTCTCCTGTGCAAATTGGGAGCAGGCAGGGGGGTTGGAGAAGAAATTAGGAGAAAGAGAAGGGAAGAAGAGGAAGGGAGAGGAGAACATGAGGGGGCAGGAAAATTGAATGGGGGTAAGAATAGAAAAGAACAAGAAAATATACCGTAATAGGTATATTTAAACCATTGTAGGTTTAAAGAGAAATCTGGCACTAGGGAAATGTTCAGGGACCTATAAGAATGACCACAACTAACAATGTAAGCAATAGTGGCAAGGCTACCTTAGATGCCCTTCCCCGATAATGAGATTGATGACTTCCTTATATATCATCCTAGAGCTTTCACCCACTAGCTGATGGAAGCAGACACCCACAGCTAAACACTAAGCTGAACTCCTGGAATCCAGTTGCAGAGAGGGAGGAGTGATGAGCAAAGGGGTCAAGATCAGGCTAGAGAAACCCACAGAAGCAGCTGACCTGAACAAGGGAGAGCTCATGCACCCCAGATGAAGAACTCAGTTAAGTTATTGGTTGGATTATGTCGACCTACACACCAAAAATTATGTGTGTTAAGTTTGGGGCAACTATTTGACTCGCTCTTTCATTAAGACAACAAGGAAGTTTAAAATTGTGTTGCTACAGGGTGGACCATGAAAAGGGGGACATGATCTTAATGAATATACATTCATGCCAATTAATGATGATCAAAAACTAGGTTATTGAGCATAATAAACAAATGGATTTCACTGAAGATATTATAGTACATTAACATGAAATAAATGACCCTGAAACAATGCTTTGTGTTAATGGCACAGTAGTTAATAGTAGTTTATTTTATTTCGGTCTTACACAGACAAGAAGCCTTGCAGAACAGTTGAGCTGATGGATGGGAGCATCCCCTAGCTGTCAATTTCTTACCACAGTTGTTGTATTCATCATAGTAAGGGCAGGGGTTCGCTGAAAAAAAAAATAGAATAGCATACAACATTATGCTCAAAACAACTGCAAACACTGAGGAAAGACATTATCTTCCTAAAGAGGTAAAGATAAATATTTTATATAGTAGAGGATTGATTTGGTTAAGGTAAGGTGATTAGGTACGAATGCAAAACAATTGATGAGTTGAATCAGATCCTTTTGAAATAATGGAAAAATTCTTGTCATAATATACAGCACTTTCATCCTTTCTCAATTTTTTAGTTGGTGACACTACACCTCAACAGACTGGAGAGGAATAATCTTTTCAATTATTTTTGTCATTTTGAGAACAATAATACCATTATAATAACAATAAAGCAATAAAGTTTCAGTCACTTAAAAAATTGTTCTACCTTTATCCTTGAAGGATATAAGTAGTCTTAAGAGGAAGCAAAAAAGCCCTTGCAGCCAAGTCTCTCCGAAGACACATCAGTTCTAGTGGCTCATCAGGCATTAAGCTGTCCTCACAGAAAAATTCATGAGCTAAGAGATCTCAGTACCTGGTTTATTATATAATAGGTAAATTAATAAAAGAATTGCCATTCCAACTCCTTCCTGAACATAAAGAAATACAGGATAAAGAGAGATCCCGTCTACATCTGTTAGGATTCAGGCATGATGCTGGCCTACCCCCTGTCATCTGGCATAATGCATTCACTCAGGCAGTACCCTGGCTAGCCCAGGGATCTATAGCTCCTGCATAATTATATAGTCTGCACACAGGTGCAACGGTTTTTTAAACTCTAACTACCTTCCCCCTCTCTCTGTTCATCATTTCCCTCTCTCTCTTCTCTCTCTCTCTCTCTCTCTCTCTCTCTCTCTCTCTCTCTTCCCCTCTCTTCTCTTACCACCCCCTCTCTCATTCTCCATTCCCTTCCCCCAAAAATTCCTATCCATGTAAGTTCTGCCTGATGGAGTGTTTGCACCCTGCCATGGGATCTGCCAGGATCCTACTTTTGTGCCACATTACTAACAATGTCCAGGTCATAGACTTGGAACTCTATGTGAAGCTCAACACAGACAAATTAGGTATCAGAAAGAGTTCAAACCATTCCTCTATATCATAAATTACATCTATGCTAATGAACTGGGACTCTAACTCTATGTTAAACTGGTCATTATGACCTTCCTCCACCAGCCCTCTGATGTATGGAAGGACACAATTGACCCTTAATTTAGTAATACTATCCAAGTACAGGCAAGTCAAGTTCACTCCTCATATTTAACTCAACATATATCATAATAGGTTGTGAAATCAGGGACTCAAAACTAAAAGTTAAAAAGGAATTCTGATTCATATCGTGATACACTCCTCAGGAAAAGAAAGTTTTTGTTTGTTCGGCTGTTTGTTGTTGTTTTCTTTTTCAGTGTAGAAGGAAAGAAATTGTCAATCAGGAATTCTGTACTCAAAGATATTGCATTTTAGAAGTGAAGAAACAATAAGCACAATATCAGAAAACTGTGTCAAAGAGAGGTTTTGACCAAGCCCATCCTACAAAACATGCTAAAGATGATTCCTTATGCTGAACAAATATAAGTATAAAATAATCAATGAAATTAAAAATAATAACAGGTTCATTAATACATTGAAGTAAGAGACAGAAATACGTAAAGTGGGACATTTCAAAAGAAACTAATGTAAGAGAAAAAGGACTGAAAATACATGTTTTCTTTTCAACACATTATTTTTGTTTTTGTGTCCATTATCTTTATTGTCATATTGTTTCTAAACTCTATAACCAAAAAAAAAGTATACCTCACCCTTCACCTGGTCCTGAGTTCTTTTCTTTCCTTGGTAACCTATTGCTAAGAGAACATGTACAATAGATAAAACAAAAATAATAAGCAAGAAATAGAATTGTGCTACTATACTGAGCATTCTAACTACAAGAAAGCTGTAAGGGAGAAAACAGGTTTACTTCATAACTAAAAAGCAAGTTTAAATATGGCTGCTATGAGACCTTGATGACTTTGAATGCAAGTAAGTTGATTTCATTTTCCACATGAAAGATGTAGCAAAGGAAGAGACAAAAAAAATTAACAATACTCAAGTATACATTGCTTGCAAAAAAATCTCTGAGGACACACATATACAGTATATGGATGTATTAAGATATATGTCATGTCAATAAAATTCAGAAAAAAGCAAGAGTAATCATGTTAATAGCAGATAAAATGGACTGTAGAAAAAAAATCAGCAAAACCAAAGGTCATTATATAATGATTAACAATAAAATGTCTATGTATATATGCACAAAAGTTTCTAAAATATAAAACAAATATTGGTCAGCTACAAAGTAATGCTTGAAAGTTTTTGCACTCTCAGCAATGGACATATTAAAACTCAACAAACACAAGAGTTACGTTATGTTGTAAATTGAACAGACTTAACAGAATTCTGTAGAATATTCTAGCTAAAAAGTACAAAGCATATATTCTTTCCATCATTATGTGGAAAGTCCCACAGGATAGACCATATGATAAGCTAACACTCAGGTTATAACAGTGTCAAAATGCTGGAACTTTATTCAGTAATTTTTCTAATTACTGTTTATTAGAACTAGAAATCAGTAACAATGCTTTGGATGTTATGGAAATATATGGAGATTATGCAAATTATTTATGAGTAATCAGTTGAATGGAAAAGAAACAAAGATTCGTTTTACTAATGCTAGTTTCATAATTTGGCATGAGTCAAATTTGTAATTTAAAATATTTTAGAATTTCATACCTGTGTATTGTATTTATATAATTTCCACTCTTCCCTCTTTCTTGTCAATCCCAACAGTGTTTGTCCACCTCTCTGGTTAATTGATGGCATATTATTTAGATGTTGTATCTGTGTCAAAGCTTGTGTAACCTATCTAAGGGCTCATCCCTGAGGAAAACTGAATCTCCCTTTTAAAGTAATCAGGAATTGTCTGCAGCTCTGTCTAGAGGTGGAACCTTGTGAGATTTTGACATCCACACTGACATGTCAGCTGGTGTTGTCAATGTACATGAATTATTTAGGTGACTTGACGGTTGATATTTCATGGGTGTGCAGCTTCTCAATGACCTACAAGAACCATTATCTCACAGCAGATGTCCTGGTCCTCTGGCTCTTACACTTTTCTTTGACACCCTCCCCTGAGACGTTGTCTTAGCGTTAGTTGTAGGGATTGTGTTGTAGATGCATCAGATGGGGTGGTGCACACAAAGGAAAGTTGCTCTCTGCATTTTGACCAGTTGTGGGTTTCGGTTATGATCTTCATCTCCTACAAGACAAGGCTTCTTAGACAAGCAGTGAGAGCTAAACTTATCTGTGAGAATGAGGATCACTGTTTAGCATCCAGTAAGAAATTATACTGGTTTAGGGAAGTGATAGTAGTAGGTTATCTTGTAGGACCAGTGACCAAAATCCATGGGCGATTTAAGGATTTACAGGATCATGCCTGAATTTCCTCCTACTGGGAGTGCCTTTAGTTCAACTACATAGCTGTTGGCTACCCTCAACACTTGGGGATATCTTGTCGTACTGATCTTTGTTAAGTTTTCAGACTTTACAGCAGCTCAGGGGGACTAGTGATTTTTTTTGTTCCCTGACAGCTTGCGTAACGCCCTTACACACTATGAGAGGTAGTCCTTTCGGAGGATGCTTCCAAGTCAATTCAAGCTGGATTCATCCAAGTCCTATGTCCAAAGGCTGTATGTAGTGTCTTCAGCAATAGGGTCGTGCCTTCAAGTTCTGGCTGGAAACCAAAGGGAATAGCAATAGCCTATATTGTTTCAGGAGTCTCTTAATCACCCCTGACCAACAATTGGAAGGAGTTTCCATTGCTTGGCAAGGAGGATTTTGTTAGCTAGTCTATAAATTTGGGAGGAGCATTATTGAGGGAAATATTATTACCTCAAGTGGTAGTTAAATTTCATTTAAACTTTGTGTATTGTAAAAATATACATAAAATAATGTATCCCTTATGTCATTTTTGACATCTTTAGTGTTATCTATCCTTCATTCCTCCTTCTCCCCATGTATTTCTTTTTCCCTCTATTCCCATTTATAATCCCCTTTCCATTTTTTTTCTGTTTTCCCTTTCAGAGTGCCTGTGTCCCACTATTCCTTTTTTAGAGCTCCCACCCTCACCCTTTTTCTTTTCCTGGCTTCTGCAGGTTACTCTAGGTTAAACACTGGCATCCAAAGATTTGTAGTTAATACCCACAAATAGACGAGAACATGTTCCATTGGTTTACCAGGCCTGTGTTACCTCCCTCAATATAATATTTTCCAGTTTCATTTGTTTCCCTGAGACTCTCATGATTTCTTGTTTTTCCCCAGCTGAACAGATTTTCATTGTATATAAGTGTACCATGTTTTCTTTATCCACTAACCTGTTGAAGAGCATTTATGTTGTTTTCATTTCATAGTTATTATGAATAGAGTGACAAAGATTGTTGCTGGGTTAGTATAGTAGAGATTGATGTTAACTCTGTTTTCTCTTAGCAATTTCAGTGATTTGGGTCTTAAATTGATGTATTTGATACACTTGGAGTTGATTTTTGTGTAGGGTGATGGATGTGAACCTAATTTCATTATTTTACACGTGATCTCCCAATTTCCCCAACATTGTTTGTTGAAAATGCTGCGTTTCCTCTAGTGTTTTTGGCAACTTTGTCCATTTTTCTTTCATGAAACACCAAGTGAATAATGCATAGAAATTCTAAAATGAAGCCACTTACTTATAATGAGCCAGTAGCTAACATCACACTGATTATCAAAGGTGCATGTTTTCTCTCTAAGATGGGGAAGAACACTGTCATGACTTTCATTGAACACAGTTGCAAGATGGTGAAACAAATGGCTTTTCTAAATTGGAAAAATGAATAGCCAAATTGTCATGGTCAGAAGATGACATGGTCTCATACATAGAAAAAGACAGTTGCCAAAATTAAGAAAAAAATAAATTGCTATATTATATAAATGTAACTAGTATGTAATATAAAAATAAATGCAGCACATGATACATTACATCAAAGCAGCATTTAAAATATGGAGTACTGGTATATGCAATAGCAATATGTGAAGCCGAAATTAAGAAAACAATTTCACTCATACACGTAAAATTACACAGCAATGAAGTCACGCAAAGTGAGATCACAATTGTGAAAATTATAAAGCATTGTAGATGGCACCCAAATGCAGGAAGATAATCTATGCCTCTGTACTGAGAATCAATGTTTATAAAACATTATTCTTACTGTTCCACCATTAGACAAATAGCTACATATAGGTAATGACTACTGAGAGAAGGAGAATTAGCCTCTCCTATGGATGAGAGATGCCTTACTGAGTATTCGATGCAGAGTGGTCAATCTTGAGAACACACAAACAACAATAATGGTCTAGGGTTGAATTTATGTGTTTGCACACATATTTATGGTCAACAATATGGTGTCTCAGGAATTGTGTAGGGAAGCAATCACACTTACATTAATATTTTACCTAGGCTGGCTCTAATTCATTATTTAACTTTTGTATGAGAACTGGAGCTTTCATAGCTAGGTATTCTAATTTCCCTTTCATTTCAACAGTGAAGTCAAAGAGCTTTGCTTACCCTGGGTACAAAGGGAAGGGAAACAGAAATAACCTAGATATATCTTGTAGTAATATTGACAGGAAAATTAAGAAAAATAGAACGCGGATCAATGCTTAACCTAAAGGATCCATGTCAATATGATCGATAGGCCAACCTTAAGCAATCCAAATTAAACAACAAAAACAACTCACTGCATAGTCCATCTTCACAGTCATTTGGACAGTCTCCACATGGTGAGCCCTCCTTATAAGGCATATTTAGTGAGTAAGGATTATTTCCCCTTTAGAAAAGAAAAAGTAGAGGTATAGTGAAAATAATCCCTGGAAAATATTAAAAAAAAACTTACGACAACTGTTAACAGTGAATCCACAAGATAAATAGTTTAAGCCAGTTTGTAGATGAACAGAGTTAATAGTTACAATAGATATGTGACCTAGATTTATGGGTGAGTATTGTCTTTGCACTCAACCACCAGCGATTCGGTTTAAGTACACTTGTAGTCATCCCCCCCCCCATCTTTGAACAGTCATGTGCTAACAGGATTCAGGACATTTGAACAGTCAAGTCCCAAAAGAAGTGTTACGGAAAAAACCCAATTCATTTGCTTTGGATTTTTTTTTTTTTTTACACCAGTGATGAAAAGCACTTGTTATTATGTCTTATTATATCTATATCTATATAAATCACAAAAACACTAAGCATGAGGGAAACTAAAGAAAGTACTGGACAGTCTGTGGGGCAGTGCAGTCCAAGGACAGGATCGCCCCTTTGGTCTGAGCACTGGTCGAGGAAAACAGGGCGCTTCTCTTTCCACTGCATTTAGCATTGTGAACACAATAGAAACTTGGCTCACAAAAAAAAAAAAAACAACAACAACAACAAAAAAAAACGTTGTTGACCCATCCCCCACCAACTCATTTAGCTCCCTTGGACACAGACAGAACCTGCACAAAGCAGTCCAGGAGCTAAGCAACCAGCCTCCTAGGTGGACAGCCTAGTCTCTAGGCCTTAGGCCCAGGGGTAAAACTCGGCTACACTAGCTGGTCAGCAGGCAAGCTTCCTGAAGACAGCATACTCCACCCTACCCCTTGTACTCTATAATCTACAAATCCCACTCTGCCCTCAAACTCCCTATCCCCCTTGACCTCAGAAGCTCCCTAAGAAACAGTCAGCAACCGATCAAAGCAGACCAAGAGTAGCTCCCTGAGACACACCCAAAGACATACCACAAGGATATTTACTCAACAACATTCATAGCAGCATTATTTCTAATAGACAGAAACTGGAAACCTAGATAGATGCCCCTCAACTGAAGAATGGGTAAAGAAAATGTGGTGCATTTACACAAGGAAGCATTACTCAGTTGTATTAGACCATGCCACCATGAAATTCACAGGAAAATGGATGGAACTAGGAAAAAAACCATCCTGAGTGAGGTAACCCAGAATCAGAAAGACAAGCACAGTACGTACTCACTCATCAGTGGATATTAGATGTAAAGCAAAGGATAACCAGACTACAATCCACAGCTCCAGAGTTCCTACATAACAAGGACACATGGATTGTACTGAAGGGGAGTTATATGAAATCTCCTGGGGGTGAGGGGGTCAGTCAAGGGGTGGGGATGGGGGATGAGGACATGAGGGAACAGGATGGTTGAGGGAGAGCAAGGAAAGAGGTATCTTGACAGAGAGAGTCACTATGGGGTTAGAAAGAAACCTGGTGCTAGGGAAACTCCCAAGAATCCAGAAGGAGGACCCCGGCCAAGATTCTTAGCAACAGTGGAGAGGGTGTCCAAACTGACCACCTTACATAGGTGAATACCCCAACTATCACCACAGAGCCTCTATCCAGACACAGTGATCTACAATCAAGCACCAAGCCGAACTCTGGGAATCCAGTGGAAGACAGGGAGGAGGGGATACATGAGCAAGGGATGATAAGATCATGATGGAGAAAGCTACAGAAACAGCCAAACCAAGCTCGTGGAAACTCTAGACCTACAACTGTGGAGACTCCATGGGACTGAACTAGCCCTGCCATATCTGGGAGACAGTTGTGAAGCTTGGGCTATCTGAGAGGCCCCTGGCAGTAGGACCTGGAGCATGAGCTAGCTTGTTGGAGCCCATTCCTTGTTAGGGGATAACATGCTCAGCCTTAATGCAGTGGGTAGGAGCTTGGTCCTGCCCCAACTTAATGTTCCAGATTTCTTCAACTCTCTATGTGAGCCCTTATCTGTTGGGAGGAATGGATGAAGGGTGGGCTGGGTGGTGGGGAGGTGAGTGGACATGGAATGGGATGGAAGGAAGAACTTGGGTTGAAAAGTAAAATGAAATAAATAAAAGAAGAAAGTAGTGGGCATGGGAAATCCATAGTTGTGGAATATCTGAACTATTCAGAAAATGCAAAAAGTTCTTGCCTATCAATACCTGAACGTTGTTTAGACAATATTCAGTTCTTAATTAGTGCCATTTTTTTTTAAAAAAGATGCATCTAGACACAATGACGGCAGGGTGTCATTTAGATAAATGTTGTAGAAATAAGTTATGATCTATGACTATATCGTGGTACGGTGAACCCTACTCAAGATGTAAATATGGTCCACTTTTTAAGACTCATGCTCAAGGTCATACTTGGCATCTTCCTGGTGTGTACACATACATACTCTGCTGAGACATGACACTGTTGACCTAGACAACACATGCAGATAAAAGGAACATAAGGAGCTCACATCAACTTTTATCAACCAAGTCATCTCAAACTAGCAATCAGAGCCAAATACGCGAGGTGATTGCCTAGGTTTAAAGAACCTCCTTCTCTTATTTTTCTTCCCTAGAGTCAGCAGTAAACCCTAACAGTCATTTTTACCTTATAAATCCATCTGCATAGCTGCGTCAGATAAGAAAGGAGGTACAACTGTTCCTCACTGAAGGACCTGGGTTATGCGTTCTAGAATTTGCACTAATACCTATGATAGCAGTAAATTCAATTTACTTTTAAAATGATTTATTGTAGTTTGTGTTTTATGTGCATGTATCTACAGTGTTTGTATGTATGTATGTAATGTCTGTCTGTGTGGATGTACAGATGTGTGCAGGTATCAGTGGGGGCCGGAAGACGGCATAGGATACCCTGAAGTTAAGAACGGTCCTGAGACTTCAGTTCTTGGGGGGCTGCATGATAGCAAGTTCTCTTAGTCACTGAGCCATCTCTTCAGTGCCAAGTTAATTTCATTTCTAGGGGAAACGCATAGGTCAACATTGGGACTGGAAACCAGAAGCAGGGACCTGAATGCCTCCGAATAGCCTTTCTTTGCCTAAGACAGCTCAGATTCACTTCCCTTAGTGATGACTGACTCTCCAGTGAGTACTGTTAAATTGTCTGAATGTTTATATCTCTTAATCAACTTATTTAGCAAAAACATGATGAAAAATGAAGGGTTGTGGGTGTATTTGTGACATTTTGCTAACAATCAAGCAGGAAAAAAAAAATCCCGGAACATTCACTTATAATGTTTGAAACATTAGACGAGACTTTTAGGAAGTTAGTGGCTTTAGAAATTATAATAAACTGGCATTACATACTCATGACAATAGTGACACACGTAGAGAAATGTAGCGGCCTTTTGTCTGCGACACGAGGCAACATCACAGCCAATGAGGTAGGAAGTGGCCCAGACCATCTGTAACGGTAAGAGATGAGTTCATTCTGGATCTGGATGCCCACTGAGTGGCTTCAGTATTAGCTCTGTTATCGTGACTCAGTGTGCACAACCAAAGGGCCGAGGGCTGTCTCGGTGTTTACAGGAAGCTGCTGTCCTTCTCGAGGACTTGGTTTCTGTTCCTGCATCCACCTGGATTCCACACAACTGTCTCTAAATCCAGACCCAGGGTATCCAAGGTCCTCTTCTTAACTCTCTGGGCACTCACAGTTGAGAGCTTCATGTGTGCGAAAATAAACACAGGCATGCTTTCCTCTCTGTGCTTCTAAACTGGGTGGGGTTTTTGTTGTTGTTAGTTTGTTTTGAAGTTTCTTGGTTAGAGCTTCACTTTCTCACCTTTAAGATGGGTATATAACAATGCTACCCACTACATGGATGTGTAAGGTGAGGGTGAAATAATAAAATGATTAAGAAGCTGGAGGAGGAAGCTAGGGTGAGCATAGCTCTGACTGATTAGATAAAGTATTACTTTCTCTTCACAGAGGGAAGCTTTCCTGGTGTCGGTCTCCCTCCACGCAGCATTTAATTGTCTCTGCTGAATAAAGATATGCTTTCCCCAAATCTGGAGCTCCACCCACTATGCAAACATCGAAAGGTACGCCTCAAGGTTTGCAAGTTTCTCTTCTTACTCCTTTGCCTTGTAAGGTTTGTTGAACTCAGAATGTGGTGGAACACATACTTAGAAAAACCGCAACGAAAATGCATTAACACATCTACTGTGTCACTCTCAAATTATATATTGATTACTAGCGAAGCAGTGGATGTGGTTCTTTCATTTATTCACTCTTCACATATGCAAGAAAAAGCACCACTAGGAGGGGACCACCCTTCTGTGGGATGGGGGGGTGGGATGGGTGGTGGACAGGGGGCATGGGAGGGAGGGAGAGAAGGAGGGAGAGAGGAAGAGGGAGGGAGGGAGGGAGGGAGGGAGAGGGAACTGGGATCGATATGTAAAGTAAGAAACAAAAAGAAGCAGTGGTTTTCTAGCTTCCAAGGGGAAAAAAAGGAGGAGGAGGAGGAGAGCCCAGGAAAAATGTAAAAGTCAAAAGAATTATTTCATGACAAGTGAAAATTGTATGAGTTCAAAACATAATATTATGAATTCAAATTTCATTATCTGTAATAGAATTTTTATTGAAACAAAAAGAGAAAAAGCACAACTAACATAAAAGAAATTATTTATTTTATCAAATAGATCTATGACCACACTAATGCACTCGCATGGTTCTACAGATAATGATGGCATTTTCCGCTAAAATTTAAGAAAATAAAGGCCAACTTCTTTGATTTTTAACAATTATTTTTTGAGATTATAATTGCATCATTGGTCCCTTTCCCTTCCTTGCTCCAAACCCTCTTTTATATACCCTTCTTGCTTCTTTTCAGATTCATGGCCTCTCTTTTCATTAATTGTTGTTTTTTACATATAAATGATTTTTTTATACATTTCCTGAAAACAACGTTCATGAACTCCATATCCATATCACTTCTACCCCCACTTCAAATCCCTCCCATGAACCCCCATTCCATCTTTAATAATAATTCTTGTTACATATTCTTTAATAATCATTATTGTTACATGTATATCTAGATACATACAAATTGTATGTTCAACCTACTGGGTTTATTTAGCATTGCCCATATGTAGATGTGTTCAAGGCTGACACTGTCTTCTCACTTGTCACTCATCACCCAAGAATTAGGACCACATCATCACCCAAGAATTAGGACCACATGGAAGTTCTCCTGTCTGCATTGGGACATTAAGTGGCATTATCCTTGTCCTGGTCACTTTTTCAGGCAACTTATTGTTGGGAATTCACAGGTCATTTTCCTTAGCCTGAGAGGAGAACCTTTGACCCATACATGTATCCAGTCATGGGTGTATCTGGAAGGGTATTAGATTACCTGAGTGTAATGATCTGTTTCAAAGTCATCATCTGAGGATGGCCATTCTCCATATGTGAAATGTTTGGATTCATTGTGCCACATTTCAATTATTTTTGACCAGGAGTAGGGGTAACGTCCCAAATGCCTATTTTCTCCACAAAACGTATCTGAAAATGAAGGAACATGGTTGCAAAATATTCTTTTTTCCCCCTTTCTGTCTCTATTTTTGGACTTTTTGGAGAAAGGGTTTCCTGTTTAGCTCTGGCTGCCCTGGAACTTTCCCTTTCCCCTGTCTCCTAAGTGCTGAGATTAAAGGCATGTACCACCACACCCAACTTTAATATTCTTTTAAAAAATACAGAAATTTTCCTCATTTTCTCTTGCAAACATTTTAATGATCATCTAGGTATCATTTTATAATGGGAAATTAGTTGTTTCTCTTCTGAAAAATCTTCCTTCTTGTTGAAGGTCCTCAAGAGAAATTGCAAGGACAAATGACGAGAAAGCTTTGAAATCCCCCACCCATCAATTTGTTTGAGGTGGGGCTTCTCTCTATAACTATCCTGGCTGTCATAGAACTCCTTTATAGATCAGGCTGGCCTTGAACTCACAGAGATCTGCCTGCCTCTGCATCATAAATGCTGGGATTAAAAAGCACATATTACCACTATCCATGAACTACAAATACCTCAGTCTGTCTCTTGTCAGGTAAATGAGGGTGGTGAAAATTTGCATTAACCCTTGGGAGCTGTAACTGAATTCTGGAATTGAAAGCAGTTACAAAGAGGGCTCACATTCTCAAAAGATATTGGGACCATTTGTCATGCATTCTCCAGGTGGATTGTGGTATTGAGGTATAATCTTCCTTTCTCTAGAATACAAAGTTCCCCCATTGATAATGCAATACTCAACACCTTGGCATAAGTGTCCCAATAATCTGTAGACACAAAGTTGTATTTGTACTTTTAAAAATTAGTTAGGAAGAAAGTATCACTTAAAGTGTTACTTAAATCTGTAGACTGAACTAAAAATTGTATAGTATTTAATTTACTCGACAAAAGCAAGCCCACCTTTGAGCACTGAAAATTGTTCACCGGGGTAGATCTATAGTTGCCTAACACTCAGTTCTTAGTTGTGTTAGTGTCCCAAATCTGAGGAAATTGCCATTCTCATGTTGTGGGCAGCCGAGATAACTTTGAATGGAAACCTCCTAGGTATCAGATGCACCTGTAATAATGCTGGCCCTGATCCCTTCCTCCTATTGATCAGAGCACAAATTCCAAAACCAAGAATCCCTAAATTTTGAAAATTAAAATCAATGATACAGTATAACAGGCTATAATATACCTTCAAGGATAGGTGTCAGTGTAGATTCAGTCTGATAATTTACTATTGTGAAGTTGCTTGCATATTCATTTTCGAGATGTATTTATTCATTTACATATTTGTTTATTTACTTAAAGGTAGTTTGTATCAGGAAGTCTCCATAGTTGAAGACTTGTTCTCTGGATGCAGGTAGTTCTGGGAGGTTGTAGCACCTTTGAGAAATGGAGCCTGCCTGGCAGAGTTGAATCTTCAAAGGCATTCATGCTGAGAGGGCAGTTTCTTTTTCTACACTGCTTTTTTTTTCTAGCAGTTTCCTCCACTAAAACTTCCACCATGCTATTGGACCTCAGTTCAGTCCCAAATCGCTCCAACTAAACATGATGGGCTCAGCCTTCTGGGGTCGTAAAATAAAAACAAAGCTCCTCACTTTAAAGTGTTTTCCTCACGCGAGTTCATAGGGTTGGAAAAGCTGTTTAATACAAGTCATGTCATACCAACACATACATACTGTTCAGTTTCCTCTCGAGTGGGTCACTCTCTGACGTGTCACAGTATCTCGCCAGCACTCTGGCATTTCCAGCAGCAGCCGTACTCCAACTCTACGAGGCAAGAAAGAGAAGTCCAGAAACAAAATGAAATTAGCATTCACAAACTAAGATTCTTGGTGTTTGTAAACATACCAGATTTGTGTCATCTTTTCTTGGGGAAACTGAACTTTTGCGTAGTTCCATTTCCCTCAAACATTCTAGTAGGAACAAAATGGAAGGAAATGTGCAGTTCCATTTACATTTCTGGGAAATTACAAATTCACAATTAGGCCATAACATTCAGACAACAGCATCTTTCTTAGAGTGGAACGGAAAAATTTTAGGAGAGCAGATAGTATTAGAAAGCTATCCCAATCAGTTCTCAGCTGTTTTGCTGTTGTCGGTTGACACAAACTAGAGTCACTTCTAATAGGGAACCTTACCTGAGGAATTGCCTCCATCATATTGGCCTGTGAGCATGTCATTGGGGAACATATCTTAGTTAATGATTGATGACCCCTAATATGCTTTCCTGAGTCATATCAGATAGCAGGCTGGAGAACCATGATGTGTAAGCCAGCAAGAGGCCTTCTTCAAAGACTTTCCTCAGCGATGTATTGTGATCCAGAGTTGTCGGCCAGATAAATCCTTTCCTCTACATGTTTTAGCGTGGCATCAGAGAAGCAAACAAGAGCAACCTTAGGCACGTCATCCTAGTTCTTAGAGTCTCTGTAGCCGTAAAGAGGCTAAGACACGCCAAAAGCTATATACACCAGATTTAGTGGGATGCTCCTTACAACAAACTTGTAAGTTTTCTGGGTCTCACAGTACGTGCTCAGCAAACACGTGAGATCTGTGAGTACATGCAGAGCCACAAGTCTCTGTCTCAAGTGAGAATAAAAGTGAAGGAGCCGTTGCTATCACTAGAACCCATCACTAATTGTATTTTTCCTACTCTTCCTGATAGCAACTAAAAGGGGACAGTGATATTTTCTCTGTATGGGACAAGAGGAATTGCAGTGGGTTAAAAGCTTTGAAGGATCACACAATTGAGAAATCGAATCAACTAATCTAGCATGCTCTCAACTCTTCAGTGGGTATGTGCTGAGTTGAAGCGTTTTATAATATACAACTCAGAAAGAGCTGGATGGGAGAAGCTGTGACATGCTGATAACTCCCGTATCCGTGTCTTTACGGTCTGCTTGCACACTTTCAACCACAATTACAGAGTGTTTTTGTTTTAGGCACAGGCTTTTGGGTAAATCTTCTAAGAATGTAGGGACAATGACAAGTTTTTGGACTCAGTTTCCTCTACTCCTGTGTTTTTTGTTTTGTTGTGATTGGCAAATGTTTAGAATACACAAAGTTCATTGGACTGACTAACAATGTAGAGAAAAACAATTATTGCCATCAGTTTTCTGTGGAGGTCAATCTGTGGCAAGGTCCGGGAAAAGGTAATTACTGTGTGTGTGTATACTGCCATCTAGTGAACTTTTCATAGAATCACTCTTTAGGTTAACTTCAAACAGTTCGGTTTTGCAGACTTCAAGAAGATTACTTTTTTATGTCTGTGTCTAACTGAGGAACTTAAGATGACCAAAAATCTCTTTCTGTCTCACCAAAAACCAATTTCTGTCTGCAATAAGGCCTCTCAATCCAGAGGCTATCTTAGTTGTAGTTATTTGTTCATCTGGGAGAAAGGAGTTTGGATTTCATAACATACGATAATTAAAAGCATTGTCCCCGAGATATCCCTCTTGCATTAAGGAATTGATATAATACAGATATATTTGAGGCTCTTTAAGATGTAGGCAATTGTACTTGGGAATTGAATAGGTTAATTATAGAAATTATAAGAATCACTTTTCTATAGCAGAGAATGTACTCTAGGTTCTGTTTGAACTAATAGCAATCTTCCTGCCTCAGCCTGGGAGTCTACATGAATGCTGGGATTCCAGGCATGAACTGTATGGTTGGCTAAAGAACATTTATTAACAGTAACACTAACATGGATGCCTGTAACAACCGATGCTTTTTAAATTGTGTTTCTCAAATAATACTGTTGATGTTTAATGTGGTCCAGAGTAAACTTTTAATGGCCACACTTCCCTTTTTTCTCTTGTCGCTTCCCTCCATTATTTATAAGAGGATCCTGTCAACTAGAAGCACCCACTACAGCAGCGATTCTTAACTTCCTAATGCTACAACTCTTTAGTACAGTTCCTCATGTTGTGGTGACCCTCAAATATTAAACTATTTTGTCACTACTTCTTAACTTTAATTCTGCTATTATTATCAATTGTAATGTAAATATCTGATGTATGACTCACGGGTTGACCACTGCTGCTCTAGAGGCTGCACTATATCTGAACTTCCTTACCCTCGTCTTTTCTGGACCCAAGGATGCTGGCCTGAGGTGCTTTAAATTGTCTTGTGATAGAACCCACCAGATTTTGCACAGCAAAGGCCAGGTCTCTAAATTTCTGTGAAATTCACTACTAGTTTTTTTTCTTTCTTTCAATATTTGTTTATCATGGGAAGGGAGTTGGCTTTGAATTTGGAAATCCTGATGCTTAAATAAATGTCACACATCTGAAGGCACCTAAGAGTCAGACTTGTGGCTGTGTCGTGTACTAAGCATGACTCTGGGAAAGCCGTTTACATCTGCTTCCCCTGGTATACAGTACAACTGTTGTGATGACCAAACATTTGGCATAGTCAGTTCACAGGACCAAATAACAATGTAGCAAGCTCTAACCGGGTCCCTGACATCACCGGTGATGATATTCTTCGGACTTACCATCTTCAGCATGTTCCTGGCTGACGGGGACACTTTTCTCCTGAAAGCATTGTGTGCTTTGACAATTTCTTCTTGTGGGCCAGTTTGGAACTCTGTGATCAGTTTATTATAGAGGGCTCTCTGTAGTTTGAGGTGCTATCAGAAAATTATTAATTAATATGACTCTTTAGAGTGGAACTTGTCACATGAAGTATATTACATATAGATCTATACGCAATATCAAATTAGAGCTTGGTTATAACGGAAAAATAATGTTCAGCATTCAGGAACTATTAATACACAAGTTTTAAGGATTTTTAAGTTCTGGGCTTGGGGGAAAAAGCACACAAATTGTGTGTATATGTGTATCAGCATGTATGCACATTCTAGTTCTACAAGAAAACTATTGACTCAAACGCATTGTACTATTAGATAAAGCAAATAAAAGTGCATGTTGGTTTTCTTGTGTTATTTTGATTGCTAGAGATTAATCATATATCATTCACTGTTCACAGACTGTTAGGATACTCCACCTATTATGCCACTGCTCTATGATTATTGAAGTAATTGGAGATCTGTTGTGATCTCACTGTTCCCAATGCAGACCCCCCACCTCAGAAAGTCTACAAAGGGTCAACTCCTTCCCTGGAGCTGCTCAAGACCAAGCCTACAGGGTATTTGACATCTGGTCCCCAGTCCTGCTACTTGATCTCTCTCTTGCCTTCCTGAGACTCAACCAGGAGTTACTTTGCTATGCTTTGCTCTGTTTATTAAATCTGGGTTTATTAATTTACCCTGATGTGATTTTTTTTTGCATCAGTGGAGGAACCTAGTAACTGGGGATCCAATACTTATCCTCAATAATTATCATTAATGTTGTCATCATTACCATCCCTGTCATTCTTCTGTTTTTCTGTGGATTGAACTCTGGACTTCACACATTGACAAATGCTCTATCCCTGAGCTATATCACTAGCCCAAAGGTTTTATTTTTATAAGGAATCAGACGTAGGCATCATAGCCCATTGCTGAGTCTATCTCACATCTTTGTAGTCGTACCTTTCAATTTCATGTTTAATTTGGTGGTGCAATGTTCTCAAAACAAATAATACAGTTCAGTTGAAGACATGGTTATCTTGGAGGAAAAGTAACAATAGCAGTGTTTCTTGGTTTATTTTCTTCTATTTAGTCGTGGAAACATGGATAAATCGTAAAGAAGTTCTTGCCTATGCTTTCATTATTTTCCTCCCTCCATTCCTCCTTTTCTTTATCTCTTTCTTTGCTGCCTGCCTTCCTTTATTCTTTTTTTTTTCATTTTATTATTTAGAGAAAGAACATAGACTTGGGCCCAAGTACTTAAAGTGAAAGTCAAACCTTACGCCCTTGGTCATCTAAACTTGACATTCCACTTCTTCTACTCTTTGACTCTATCCTTGCTTCTGCTCTTCCATCCTTTCTTTTTTTTTCGAGACAGGGTTTCTCTGTGGCTTTGGAGCCTGTCCTGGAACTTGCTCTGTAGACCAGGCTGGTCTCGAACTCACACAGAAATCCACCTGTCTCTGCCTCATAAGTGCTGGGATTGAAGACCTGAGCCACTGCTCTTTTTTTTTTTTTTTTCTGCATTAGTCCATGAAGTGGGTGAGTAAGTGATACAGACTTCTCACAGCAGTACATATGACATTTTATCAAAGGGTTGTGTGGTACCCTTTATCTGAAATATAGTTTTGTAACACACATACTCTGACAGCCAGAACAGGAGCAAAGGCAGCAGCAGCAGCAGCAGCAAATAACAAGAAGTATTTCACTGCCATTCCTGGAAAGATAAGTTACAGATTTTTAGATCCTTCTCAAGGTGTAGGACTTGGAAACCTTGAGCCACATTTACATTATTTGTTTGTTATTTTTCCAAAATGAGATCAGAGAATAAAGCTTATTATATCTTAGTTAAGTGGACTCAGAAATTAATATACAACTGATTCGAATGGTACAGACTCAAAAATAATGCAAACTTCTTAACTCACAGAGTCTAAGCCCAACTGTGTGTTAGTAGGGAATCAAGACAGAGGATGGAGATTAGGTTGCTAACTAACAGACTGAAGCAAGAAGAGATTGTCCTATGTTTTCTTCATTGGTTTAAATTAGTCCCAGAGGTGCTTAATTGTAAAAGAAAAAAAGACAAGATTCAACTTCAGTAACACAGCATGAGATGAGACCATCAGCCATACGTTGTTTGGAAGATTATGCAGAAGGGATGCTATTCCTGTTCCCAGTATGCCCCTTTCCTTGGCTTCCCATCTAACAGTCTGATACTAATGACTAGTCACACCATGACTGCTCATCTATTCTTGGCTTTTCTTCTCATACCTACTCTAACTAACCTGCTAATGTACACAGGGCCCTTCAGTCCTTAAATCAATTGGTATTTAACAAGTATCTGTTTCATAGTTACCTGCTAGTTTATGATCAGAATGTACTAATGTCTAGATAGTAACTGTTGCTGCACTCAGCCCACAGAGACAGATTGGATATAGAACCTGGTGTCTAGAACACTAGTTAAAGAGATTAAAAAAAAAAGAATAAGAAAAACTACCAACACAACTCTTCTACAATGAAGGTCTACCCAAAACTGCAAACACATCCACTCATATAAGAGGAGCAGCCTGAATCAAAAGAAACAACCAAAATCTTTAATTGACACCTTACCCAGATGGGCAGATTCTAGCACAGAATGCGACAATCTGCTAACTTGTCTCATAACTCAAAAGTGCATATCATATACTATAAATTGTCATTAATTACTAATGAGACGGTGTTGGAAAACACATATTCTCACATAAAGATTAACTGAAACATACGTGTGCATGTATGTTCATGTAAACATTATAGATACAAAGATATCTATCACAAATGTATGAAAAATCACTGTTTTATGCAACACACACAGCGGATTGAACACTATGGGGTAAGCCTGTGATGTATTATCTGTGAAAAAATAGACAAAAAACTACAAAACTACAAAAACACTTATCCTGATCTCTGGAAAATGGCTGTGAAACAACTGGTTTCTGGAGGGATTATGGTTACTTTGGTATATTTGGCTCATACCAAGAACCTTGGTTTAGCAAGATTAGGGTAACAGGATTAGAGGAAGAAACTCTGGCAAGAAACACATTTCAGAGCCCAAAACCTACTTTGGTTTTGGTGCAGCAGACAGGTAGAATATGTCCATTCCTACTAGTGTTTCCTAGACAATGGAAAGTACAAAGGAAGTAGAGGATCAACTTAGATTGATTAAAGACCCCATAGCACTTGGAACAACCAAGTTCAAACAGGAAGGTACAGTTTAATATGCAAGCATCAGGAATGCATTAAGGATTTTAGGATGAAAATGCAATCACCAGACAATGGCTGTTAGTCTAGGTACGAGTATATGGGATTACAGACTGCATACAGATACCACTCAGACTTGGGAGTCAAAGGGCAAAGTGAAAAAGTCAGAATTAGCAGACAAAAGCTTGAGGTATCTGCAGGAGCAAAGCTTGACATTAATATGGATGCCTCCCTCAAAAGGAGATCAGAGAGCATGACTCAGAAGCAGAATGAGGTTTGGAGAAGGAAAAGGTTTCGGGACAGGGGCCTTCTGCTTCCTCCTGTCAGAGCCTTGTTCACTGAATCACTGGGAAATGATGCACCACAGGGACTAACCAAGGCTGAGCCACTAGCATATGTGGCATGATTCTGTGCTGACCACAGGCTGCAAATCTCAAAAGTAAGTTGACCTCTAATCTGAGACATCAACTAGTTCTCTGAACTCAGTTGAAACAGAGACGAAGGACACCAAACTCAGCGTTTCCTTTTGAACACACATAGTTTACCTAAAACATGCAATTTCAGTCAATTCTCTCTCTGTTTTAAAAAAAAATAGATAATAACACCCCAAACTTGAGAAACTGAGTATCTAAAGTCATTTTCCAAACCTTAAGCTTTGACAGATGGGCCATAGACAATTAAAAGTTAATGTTTAGTGGGAGGAAAAAGTTCAAAGAAGCGGGGAGAGGTTGAGGAGGATCAAGCAGTGCCCTGTGGCAAGGCTTTGGGTGCGGTTTCTCAGCCAGGACCTCTCATAATCAACTTAAATGAAGAACAGGTTCTTCCTTGCTGGTTATTGCCTTGACTCAGTAGCTGATAAGAACCAACTGTTCCAAAAGCCTATTTTCCACACTTGATCTATCAGCAAATAAGTTAACCCCTACGTTCAGCAGACTACAGGGAAACAGTCAAATCTCAGGGGTCCAGCTTGATTACTTAGTACATATATGTTACCTATGTACACCTGTGTTACCTCTACAATAATCAATACATATGAGTCTTTCTGATACCCTTGTAGGTCACTCATGCCCCATTATGTCTACAGTCCTCAAATAAAACAGCATCTTGATCTTCATGGCTATAGGTTATGTCGATCAATACTTAGCCTTCCTTACAGTTGACATATGTATATTTCAGTGATAGCTTCTCTACTATTATGCCAATGGGAATCATTCACAGTTCATAAGAGAAAGTTTGTTTTGTTAATAGCTATGTGGTGGTCCACAATCTCTCTAGCAATAAGATATCCATTTTATTATTCACAGATACTTTGGCATTTTTCAGTTAGGGATTTAGTAATAGTTTTTATGAACATTTAGTGTAAACTGTTTATATTCCCTTTTGAGGGTATACTGTATACACTAAAATGGAACTATTGGGATATATAAACACTCAGGTTTTCTTTTGTTGTTATAATTACTTGAATATGCTTAGTGTTTTGTGTGAGTTATCTATGTTGTTGTTTTCAAAATAGAACACAGTTTTATTTTTAGTAGTTTGTGGCTTTATTTCTATCTCCTTTTTCTAATTTTATTAGTTCTTTGAAAATTTCATACAATGCATTTTCTATGATAATTACCTTCTTCCCCCACTCCTCCCATAGCTACCTTCCCTAACTACCCAACTTTGTGCCCTGGTTTTTTTTTTGCTTGTTTTTGTTTTGGGGTTTTGTTTGTTTGTTTGTATTTTAACCTAATAAAGTATGACTTGTGTTGCCATATCCTCTTGGATATAAGGTCTTCCACCAAAGTGTGATCAACCCACCAGGGATCACATACTTAAAACAAACGAACTCTCTCTTCTCCAGCAGCATCATTTGCCAACAATGGGTGGGGCTTTGTGCCCACTTTCCCTCTCCATGCTGGGATTTTGCCTGGCTTGAACTTGCTGCTGATACCAAGGTCTTGTGTGTTCTGTCACACAAGTTAAGTTCATAGCTATAGCTGCCCTGCTGTATTCAGAAAACAATATTCTTGTAGCTACCCAATGCTTCATTCTTATAATTATTTCACCCTCTTCTTGAGTGATCTCTAAGCCTTAGAAGGAGGACATGTGTTATAGATGCCCCATTTTTAAGTTGTGTATTTTATTAACAAAAGTTCTAAAAACAGATGTTTAGTTTTATTTTTACCTACTATAGCTAATGCCGTGTTTGCGTGTCTTTGTGTATGTGAGTGCTTGATAATTGCTGGTTGTCTGAATAGATAAATAATGAGAAAGTATTTTTCTTCTGGTGATTGATCCAACCTTTATAAAATAGTGAAGAATAGGAAAACTTGAGAACTTACACTTCTAAATATTAAAACTTATTAAAGTCACTAATGGAGAGCATTAGTGACCTATGTTTAGAAAACAATCATAAAGGAACTAGTATAGGCTAGAAAATTAAATTTACAGACATTATCATTTGATTTAAGACAAAGCCTAAAATTAAATTGAACAAGGAAACATCACTGGAATATCCAAGACAAAATTAAAAATGGGTGCAACTAGAGACAGTCATTTTACGTGAGTTAATACAATCTCATAAGGACAAATGTCACATATTTTCTTTCACTTATAATGCCTTCATTTAATATAGATCCATAAAATCATATAGGGATATATGACATGCCTATAGGAATAAAACTGGCTATTGTGATGAAAAAGAAGAGGGGGTGGAAGGGAATAGAGATATGATGTTCAAATTGGCACAATCAGATTTTTATATAGTAATTGGCTCCACATGACAGTCTTTCTTCTAATCCCTTCCTCCAATAGCTCACGAGAATGAACTCAACAAGTAACATTATCTTGCACAGAATGTATTAGTCATAAATCCTCTTAAAACTGTGGAAATGGTTAGACCTTTGCTTTTTGGATCACGTCAGGATTAGTAGATTTTGCATGTAGTCTATTTTATAACAATGCCGCTGAATTGTTACATATGCATTTTCTTTACAATTAAATGGACCAAAAATATAGTCTATAACTTACCCAGATCCACACAGCTCTTAAAACTGTGTGCTGCTAAAAACCAGGTCTTTGTCTGGATCGCTTACTAAGGCTTTAACTGACACATCACAAAGAGGCTTTGCTTAATGAGGCAGTCAATGTGAGGGGGAAGACATCAGCAGGTCAAGGAACAGCATGCACAAATGCTTTATGAACACAGCATGTTCAGAGCAAAATTATAGCCCACGGACTACAAATCATGATGATGGGGATGTCTCTATAATATACAATGACTGCAACACCAAGAGCCCTTACCAGTGTTACATTCTTACTCTGAGAACAAACTGTAATACTCAGCTGCAGGACTTGGTACAGCCAACAAGGAATAGCAAGATTCCTGAATGGTTCAGTAGTAGTATCGAATATGAAAGCACTTCCTCAGTTTTATCTCATTCTCTAACTCAAAGATATGTATTGAAATGTGTGTGTGTGTGTGTGTGTGTGTGTG